CCAAAAACGCAATGAAACTAGCTCAAAAGGACCACTAATCCAAAAAAGTCGGGGTTTGGACTAAAACCCTAAAAAAATGCATACCACAGGGACCATTTTTGCAATTTTGTCTTTTTTTATTTATTTGTTTTCTTATTTTGTCAAGACAAAATTGCAAAAATGGTCCCTGTGGTATGCATTTTTTTGGGGTTTTAGTCCAAACCACGATTTTTTTGGATTGATGGTCCTTTTGAGCTAGTTTCATTGCGTTTTTGGTCCCTGTGAATAGTGAAATGACTGTAATACCCTTGGGTTATTTATTTTTCATTTATTTTTCATTTCTTTCATTTTTTTAAATCTAAATACTTATTTATTTATTTAACTAATTAAAATAATAAATCTCTCTCTCTCTCTCTCTCTCTCTCTCTCTCTCTCTCTCTGCCGTATACCCCCACCTCATTCTCCTTTTTCTTTTTACCCAAGATGAACACTTCATCTTCTCCATCTCCTCCTTAATCAAAATTCCACATCTACCCACCAAGTTATCATCTACAACAACCGCTATAGCCCAAAAATCAGTTACATTCGATGCTGGTAATACCAACAAACCTGGATTTCATGAACTCAATATGGGTTCCCCTGTTTCCCCCTTACGACCTGGACCAGTGGTAATCGACCCACCAACTTCTCCATACAACCATTGTCACCATCTTCATAGCAGCAAGAAACCAACCCCCACTCTCGGTTTCTTTCACTTACAGATCTATAAATATCGATTTCATTTTCAGTGGACCTTGGTCATGGATTTTGAAGATTGTTCTCTAGAGGTGACAATAAAGATTAATTAAGATCGATAAAGTAAGGCACTGGTGTTGAAGGCTCAAACTCAATCCCATTCACAACCTCTAATTGAAGCACTAAAACTCAATCCCATTCAAAATTCTTCACCTGTAAGAACTCATTTAATAGAATTCTCCATCGATTGAAGGCTCAAAGCAAACACCTTGAGAAAGCAAGGGATAGGTGTAACGAGCATCTATATCGGTTCCAAAAAAACCTTAGACTGCCGGTTGTTAAACATCAAATAGGCGACGACCATTGAGGTGCCGACAGCGAGGATTCTGGGCCAGATTTAGGAGGCAGTGAAGCACAAATGTGATGATTGAGATGGGATTGGTCGGAGTTTGGAGACAATTGTGTTGATGTTTTCAGTTTCAATTACTAGTTTCTTGAGAGATGGAGATGGACAGATTATGCAGCCCTTCCTTGAAGAACAACAACCAAATAAGCGTTTGAAAACCCATTATCCAGAAGCATTTTATAGATTCAAAAATCGATTTCAGTTTTAGAAACAAACCTGGAAAATCAATTGTTCATCGGGTTAAGCAAGGAGATATGTGGGATAGGGTGGAGGAGATGGAGGTGGTTGGCAGCGGATGGTGGTGGCGGTGAACAGCGATAGACGGTAGAGATAGAGGTGGAGGTGTTCTTGAGATTGTGCGTATGTGTTCGTGTTAAGTGTGTGTTTTGGAAAAAGAGAGAGAGAGAGAGAGAGAGAGAGAGAGAGAGAGAGAGAGAGAGAAAGAAAGAAAGAGAAGGAGAGAGAAAGAGAGAGAGAGAGAGAGGTGGGCCCCATAATTTTTATTAATAAAACTTTTTAAATTAAATAGCAAAAACCATAAAAAAAAAAATGTATCAGAAGGGCATTTTAGTCTTTTCAGTTTTCTGAGGGACCAAAAACGCAACGAAACTAACTCAAAAGGACCACCAATCCAAAAAAGTCGTGGTTTGGACTAAAACCCAAAAAAAATGCATACCACAGGGACCATTTTTGCAATTTTGTCTTTTGTCAAATAGTATTAGATAGTTTCTAATTTTTTTTAAAGGCAGTTCCTATTTTTTTCCCTATAAAATACTATATAAAATTAAAAAATTAGATGGGTCCTAAGACCCATCTTGTTTGTAAGTGATTAGGCAACAAAAGACAATGGTGAGATTGTGATAATACTTGCACTTATATAAAAGACGAAAGATGATGATGATGATATGAGTTTCGCCTCCAAAATGTATATGGTATGGTTCGATTGGAGTTCAATTCGTTCTAAGGTCCAAACAACACTCTGATTGAAGGCAACATATCTAGATACTAACAAAACTTTTGAAGTATTGTGATTTGTTTTTTTTTGTTCTCTTTTTCCTAAAGTTTTGTTGAACATTTTTGTGCCTATATGTTTGCAACTTGTAATTTTTCAAGATTAAGGTTCTCATGTGGTTAATTTTGTGTTTGTATCTTCGTTCTGATGTGGTCAATTTGTTTTGTCTATATCTTGGATGAACAATTGTGAAGTATTATTAATGGGTGTCGAATCCATCAAACAATTAGTCCTATTTGCATTTATATGATTTAAAAATAATAGTACGAGTAGCAAACAAGGTTGATCCTCAGGGACTCGGTTTTTATCAATAAATAAACCAAAATAGTTATGGTTTTATTCAAATGCATAAAAAGTAAATATACGGGAAAGGTTTTGAAAACGAGTAAAACTAAACTGAAATACGGTTAAAGAAATTTCAAAAACAAAAGTAAAAACAATCCGGTTTCAAGTTCTATTCACCTAATTAATGCATGCTAATTATAAATCAATGTCAAATTAAATTCTAGTCTAAGTTGGTACTTGAAGATACTAACAAGCTCTAGCATCTTCCATTCACCGAATTGTTTAACTAAAACAAACTCTTTGAATTAAACTTAACCTTACTAACATACTCTAAACAAGCTCTTAGAAACATAATCAACAACTTCACTAGCAAATCATATGGGTAAAAAGGAAAAAGAAACATAATCAACAACTTCACTAGCAAATCCAAAGTCATTCACATGATTATAAACCGAATGTCGATGCCGGTGATTTAGCCATTTAAGACGGCTAAACCATCGGAAACTACAAAACAATCAACAAAAAAAAAATAAAACTTACAAACGGAAAATAAAAGATTGTTTGATGACAAAAACCAAAAGAAACTTTCAAGTCTAGTGGACTATTAAGTTGTAACTTGGTCTGCTGCAATAAGATGTGGGCTACTGGAATAAAAATGATTGGGTTGCCAAGTGACAATAATCAAACAAATGGGTTGTTGGAATTTTAATTTTGGACAAATTTCCATGCTGCTGTTCACAAGGCCCAAATGTGCATCAAACTTGGTCCAAATATGATCTTCACCATCAGGGTGGCTAACCGAGTACGCGGGGCGTACTACGTGGGGTGTACCCTCGCATATCCAAAAGTCCATTAAGTGCTTAATGGCTTAAGCACTTAAGCTTATATTACAGATCCAAGGTCCAAATGCACCCTAGAGTCATAAAGTCTCCAACTTTATGACTTTACACGTCCATTAGTTCTTAATACAAGGTCTTAATCCATTAAGATCCTTTTTTCCAAATGCATAGACACTTCTGGCCATTGGGACCTCATTTTTATGACTAAGGACCCTTTCTAGGGTCTAGAAGGACAACCCAAAACGTCCAAAATCAAACATGCACAACAATGGGACTTTTAGGGACTAAAGAACATCATAAAGCTACCAAGATGAGATCTAAGCAAACCAAACACAAAGGTAGCAACTTTTTACCTTATGGTGCTTCCAAATGAGATGATGATCCAAGATCTACAAGCTTGCTTTCCTTCCTTGGCTCATTGATGCACTTCCTTCTTCTTTAAGCACACAAACAACACACTTTATGCTCACAACACTCACTTATGGGGTTAGGGTTTGCTAAGAACGGCTCAAGGACTTGGAGGTTGAAAGAGTAAAGCAAAATGATCCATAAAGGTGCTTAAATACTCCTCAAAACCCTAAAAATTAGGGTTTCACCCTGACATTAGTACGCCCAGCGTACATATGTGTATGCCCAGCGTACTCACATGTACGCCCAACGTACTACTCATGCTCCCAAAAATTACCATTTTGTCACTAGGGCTTCTTAAGGCTACATCTTTATATTCTAATGACCCAAAATGACATATTTAAAAACCAATGGAAGGATTTGAAAATACCTGAAACCCGAGATGTTACATCCTTATTGGCAACTAAAATTTAAGTTGGTTGTTCAAACTAATAAAAAGAAATGGTAACATAAAAACCTTCTAATGAGTTTTGTCCATCAAACAAGTAATTGATTTTCATCTCTTTACCATTTGATTATGTTTTAACGGGTTTGGTCTATCAAACAAATAGTTGGCCATTTGATTGTATTTTAACTGTTCTTTTAATTTTTTTAATATATTTACTATATTAATATTTGGATGGTATATTTGTAAAATAGCTAAATAAAATATACTAAAATATGTAAAGAAATCTCTATAAAATTATACCACTGTTGATATATTTTTTGACATTCTTTTTTCAAATAAAATATTGAATTAATTTATTTGGATAGAATTGCTAAGGAGCATGAAAAATTAAGTTTAATTAGAAATTAATTTTTTAATAAATAGTTAGCCCGTTTGGTATACTCTCAACGAAGAGCATTCGTTGCCACTTGGAACCACAACCACGGACGTGCACACCACCTCGTCTGCTCCGTGGTACAATGATCGTGGTCAATCTTTGTCCCAACCACAAACCACCACGACCAATCAGGTCTTTCTTCTTCTATCTCCTCTCTCTTCTTCTCTCTCATGTTGGTATCTCTCTTCGTCGCGGAGAGAATACCAGGTTCAATGTGGAAGTGAGGTGGATGGAGATGGTGGTGAGGTGGAGGTGGATGCAAATCATGGTCGTTGCCGGTATAACGGTTAATTGAAAAAGAAGTTATAGAAATGATAAATGAAAATGTTGTGTCCGAATTCCAAGATTTCCCCTATCATGACACGTGTACAACCCAATTGTATCTTACTTGAAAAATAACAGTCACCTCATTTGCAACGATCAAGCGTAAAGTCTCTCTCCTTAACACTATGCCGCTTCTCTTTACGAAGATTTTGCGATATTGATTCGCACCAGGTAATGTATGCCCTCTTTCGCTTCTCTTTTCTGATCATAATGTATTCATCCAACACACTCCACGCTGTTCTTGAATTACTTTTCCTATGCGTATTTTGGATCTTGATTTTGCGTTTTATCGTGGATTGCATGTGTTTTAGGGATTATTTGTTTATATCGACGAACTTCTGATAGTGTAAGTAAGGAACTGAGGTTTCTTGTTAGGATCATCGAACACCTAAACCCTAGTGATGGAATCGTCTTCTGATCAGCATGAAAATGGCGTTGTGAGCTTCGGTTCAGTTGGCGATGCTAGGGTTTCTGGATATGGAAAAGGGATCGTAATGGCGTCAGATGAGAGAATTTCAAGAGATGTTGAAAATGGGGGAAATGATCATATGCGTTTGAATGGTGAAGTTTCAAGATCAGGGTTGGTAGATGATCCAAATCTTGGGACAAATTTAGTTTCTGAAGTAGGCGAGTTACATGCAATCAATCTTGTTGTTGATTTAAGTCAATACTCTACAAAAGAAGCAAATGATGTTGAATTCACTGAAAAAGATTCAACTGTTGCTTCATTTAAACCTGCCAAAATCATCCAGTGTGTTGAAGATTTAGCTAAAGATCCATTTGGGATAACTAGATCAGAGATTTCAACCATGGAAGCTCAGTTATCATCTTTTAGTTGTTGGAAATGCTATCCAGATGGTGGTTTGAGCCCAAGCAAGAAAATGAAATGCTTATCGGATTTGATGACAAAAAGTAATCATAGTTTTTCTGAAGTGGAATATACACCTAAGAAAAGAGGCAGAAAAAGGAAAAATCTTGAACTTAACAGGGATGAATTTCTTTCACTTGTTAGATATTCTGCCAGAAACCCGTTTGAAAAACATCATAATCTTGAATCACTAGTGAAATTTTCGTCTGATTTTAGGAATTATTGCATGGAGACAAAATCCCAATTGAGGGAAGAAACTGAAATCCAACATGGAATTAGAGACTCTTACTGGACTGATAAGATCATTGAGTTGAAACCAAAGAAAGAGAACTCTACATCTACATCTGCAACTGCAACTGCTTTAATCTTGAAGTTTACAGATTTGGAATCAGTTCCATCAGTGTCAAAAATGAATGAGATATTTGGGCGTTATGGAGCTCTGTTAGAAGAAGAGACTCAAGTGTTGAAGAAGAAGAAGTGTGTGAAGATGGTGTTTGAGAGAAGATGTGATGCAGAAACTGCTTTCAGTAGCAGTGGGAAGTTTAGCATATTTGGGCCAGCTCTTGTGAGCTACTGCCTTAACTTCTCACCAACACCTCGGAAAAGAGGGACAGCTGGCAGAAATCAAAACAAGAAGGGTGTGAAATCAGTAAAGGGGATGCTTTTTGAAGATTAGGCGACTGGATCTTTAGTGATTAGTGAAGTAACATCATAATCTTTCTTGGCAAACGAATTTTGATGTTTGACTTTTGATCATTTTGACTTCTATGGGACATTTACTGTTCGAATTTGAAACATATCAATCTGTCGTGTATGTTGGAAACTAAATTTTGGTTTGGAATCTTATAAATGATGGTTAAGGGACTTGGATTTTGTTTGATATTTAGCTTATAAGTTATCTTAAATAGCTTATTGAAAAGTTAGCTTATAATTTAAGGTAGTTTACACGCACCAGTCATCATAAACTAAGGTCATTTGATATAACTGGGGATTTGTATGTTATTTTGAGAACTAGAACAATATTTGGTTTAAGCTTTGATCCTGGAAATTTTATGGTTGGATATATTTGATTATTGAAGTTCAAATAGAGTGAAATATAGAAAAACACATTGTACTTTTATTGTTTTATGGAAGGTAACATTTAATAACTTTGAATAAGACAAAAAAAATGACAAAAGATGTAACAACCTATAACATTTATTAATATATATCTTTCTAGTTGTTCAATAATAAAATAGTGACACATTTAAAGTAGTTGACAAGTTTTATATTTTGATGTATGGTATAAATATACATGGAGAAATAGAGAGTTAGGTTATAGATGTTTAGTGTAAGGTATATGGCTCTAAATAAATATACACGTTCATAACATTCAGCAAACTCCTCATAAACCGTTCAACGGGAAGTTTGTTTAAATTCGTCTACTTAATATCATAATCAAGCGAGGCATGCATATGAAGACGTACGAAATGTCAAGTCAAGTATATAAAAAAACATTGTGTATCACAAAAAGACTATATATATATATATATATATATATATATATATATATATATATATATA